AATCTACTGATTACAGTTCTCATAATCATGAGATTTTGTGGGATACCACATATTTAAACCACAACAGGACAGCAGGGAAGCTTCCCTATGTTTACATACTAGCTCTATCATCTAAGAGTGGAAGATGACTGCACTCTTGATTGAGTGGGAACATGACTATTTTTTCAGAATAAGTATGGTGGACTCTTTGGTGCAGCTATGCAAATCCAAAAAGGAGTTGCCTTGGCAACTGGGAGTACTGTCAGCAGACTGTCCTTAAGTGGTCATCCCCTTCAAGAATTGTGTCAGCTGCAGAGAACTGCCTTGTCAAAGGCTGTGACACCTCCCAGAGAATCCTATATCCAATTACTGAGGGATGTGGGAGCATAAACTCCTGACTTTCTGGGGAAATCACATGCTGGAGCCAGCTTTTCCTGACTCTTGAGGCCTGACTGTATACTCTACACTATGTTGTTCTGTGATGGTATGTCTAGATTCTGAAATTAGATATGATAGAGGTATTTACATCATGGAAATTGGTAAAGAAATTGAGGTTTTTGCTTTTTCAGAGTTGGTTTATCAGCACACCACTGTTCTAGGCCCAATCCAAGATTACTCTGCAGCTCTGAAGGATCACTCTATCTCTGAGATCTTTGTGGGGTTAGCTGAGGCTGTTTTGGGGCCTCATGGCTGTGTCTCTTCCCCTAATTTGACTCTCTTTCCTCCCTTAAACATATGTTGATTCCAAGGGCACTCCTTGCATGCCAAACTCTATCAAAGTCTGCTGTCTGAAGAATCCAACCTGCCAAAACAACCCTCAATGATTTTAAACTTTAAACTTTGCAGATTACCTAGGCATTTTATCAGGAATGCTGGACTTTTCCAAGAAGAAAGTAGAAAATATATCATACAAAAAGGTTCTATTCCATATCAAGATTAAGACAGCTTTCCTTTTATAAGGTTTTAAGTTTCTGGATGATTCTCTCAACCAGTAAGCTCTTAATAAAGTTTCCTGGTTAGTAGTAACCATTATACAAGCTACTATGAACCCATGAGGACAATAAATTTCTGCAGAATATGCTTGTTGAATGGCCACATTCAAATCTCCTGATGAAAGAATCTTTCTGTAAATTCTATCACTTATTCTTGATCTTTCTGGTTGAAAAGGCTTTAATAGGTGATAGTAGGGGGACTCATTGAATATTTTGCTTTGCTGAAAGCTTTTTGGAATTTTTTTAATCTACTTGTAGGATTGATCATCCAAAGATTATGAAAAATGTATGGCTTGGCCATTGACTAATCAGAAAGAATCCTGGCTATAGATCAAGAGCTGGCTCTTGGAGAGTCCCACCATCCCAGCCAAAGAAGGTTAGGAATTAATCTTTAGGTGTTGGATGTGGAAGTTTCCTTGGAAAGAAATCTTAGATACCTAGAAAGCTTAGGGAAAAAATCTAGTTACTAACTTGTAGGGAGCAGTTTCAATATTTTAACAATGGGCGTGGCCTTGAAGGTGCCTGTCCACTGAATGGCAGGCTCAACGATTTTTTTCAGTGAGTAATTCCATTTGTGACTTTAAATTTTTCATCTCAAATAGTTTCAATTTATCTAAGGATAGAAATTAATTGTTATATTGCTCTTAATGAATACCCTAATTGTCTTTGGGCATGTTTGGGGGGATGGATGAGGTATATTTTGTTTGTTGGTTGGTTTTGGTACTGGGGATCTAACCCAGGGGCCTTTTACCATTGAGCTACATCCCCAGCTCCCTTTTATTTTTTATTTTGAGACAGGGTCTCGATAAGTTGCTGAGGGTCTCGATAAGTTGCTGAGGTTGGCCTTGAACTTGTGATCCCCCTGTTTCAGCAGAATATGCTTGTTGAATGACCACATTACTGCATCATGCATCACTACACCCCACTTGCTTTTATTTCTTGAAAGACAGTATTGCTTTATTGAATTCTGGCTTGAACATTACTTTAGTAAACGAAAACTAAAAGAAAAAAAAATTCTAACAAATGAATAGAATAATGGCATCTTCTTACCTGCCATTTGGTTTCATTTTAGCAAATACTTATTGAGATCATTTGCTAGACTATGATAAGTGTCATGGTAAATGAAAATATAAATATGTTAATATATCTGCTTTTTAGATGATAACAGAAGGAGATATAATGGATGAAACTCTGTCAATAAATCTGAAACCTCAATAAATCTGAAACATAAATAGGGGAATCTGAAGCAGGATAATAAGAAATGAAGTATGTCCAGGAGTTGTTTAAAAAAAATTGTGTCTGAAGTGTGGACTGGGAAGGAGGGAGTATGTGGAAGGTAAGTCAGGAAAGGTGGAGTGTCAACCAGGACACTTCCACTTTCTGTAAATGACAGAAAGCAATTCAAATTACCTTGAGCAAATGCAGACTTAACTGTGATGTAATTGTGAGGTCTAGAAGGTGGAGTTGGCTTCAGGCCTGAGGAGATCATGAAATTCAAATAAGGTTATTAACTCTTACACTCTCTTTCCTCCACCTTCCCACTCTTCTCATACAAATTTTTCATCCCTTCTTTTATAGAAAGCTTTGGAGATGTCTAGGAAAGATGACCACTGGAAGCCATCAATGCATGTACTTTCTAACCTATGACCCAATACACAAATCACTTTCCATAATTTCAAACAGAAAAATTCCAAGATATGATGACTGACTGATTGCCTGGGTTATGTGCCTGTTCTTGAAGCAACCATGGAGACCAGGGTACCATAGGTAGTAGGATGTGCCTAGCATTGATGACACGCTTATCCTGTTATTTAGAGGCAGAGGCAGTTTTCCAAAGGAAGTGGGAGCGCTGAGTAGAGAAAAACAAAGTCATATCTCCAACATGTAGGATGCCAATAAGGTAGAGAGCCTCAAATGTGGAGCCTTAGGCTCTGGAATATGAACTCCCTTCTGGCAATAATAAGGTAAGAAAGTGGCCTTGGATCATGGTTGGAGTAGATCATCTTTTGAGTTTCCATTCTGTGTTGAAATTATTCTGAATTTGAAAAAGATGGTGGTCCTGATGTAAACTATAGACTTTAGGTGATAATGATGTGTTCATGTAGGTTCATAGATTCTAACAAATATACCACTGTGGTATAGAAGATGATCTGGGAGTTTGTGCAGATGTGGTGGCAAGAGTATATGGAAACACTGTACTTTCTGCTCAGTTTTTCTATGAATCTAAAAATAATCTATTAAAAAATGGTGGTGCTGCTGTCAACAGACAGCCTTTTGAATGAAGTCAAGAACTTAACTATTTTAAACACAGAAATGTAAAATGTCCCCAGTTGACAAAAAGACCCACCAGTCAGCAGCTGCCTAGCTGAGATTATTCTTGATCTTGAAAGTTTCATCTTTTCTCCAGAGATCACCACTTAACTCTGATGCTGAAGATCTACATTAATGGTAGTAAGTAAAGTTAGTCATTTTGCAAACATGGCTTCTTTAATGCATTTTACTTGCCAAATCTTGTGCTTTAATGCATGGTGCACAGACCCATCAAAGTGTGGTCCATGAATGGCCCACATTATAAGTACTTGGTACTTGTTTAAAAAATCACATAATTCAGGATCATATTGCAGGTAGACCTTCAAAATAATTATCTGCAGGTATATGACTTAGGAATTTTGACACTCAAAATTTGGCATCACCTAGAAGTTCACTAGAGGTACTGAGATCCCAACTCAGATATACTGAATCAGAATCTGCATTTTAAGAGGCTCTCCAAAGCTTAAAGTCTGAGAAGCATCATCCTAGAAAATTCTGTTACACTAAATTTTGAGAATTACTCATCTAACCAAAGGCTAATGAGTGTAGAGATGATTACAGCACAGTGTGATGAGTGTATTTACAGAGGAATGTGTGATTTCCTCTAGAAGTGCACAAAAGTAGTAAGTTCCATGTCAGGGAAGGTTTCCAGGAAAGGTGTGATAAAACATCACAAGGAGACGTCAGCCAGGCTAGGGGCCTGGGGAATCTCATCAGTGGGATCCACAAGTACAAAGTCCTGAATCAAAAGAGAATGCTACAAGTTCAGGTAACAACAGCAAACAGTACCTCAAAGTGAAGGGTTTTGTAAAGAGTTTATTTAAATTCTGAACACCAACTAAATGAGATTTAAAAAAAAAAAAACTCAGCAGTTAAAGATTTGCTTAGCAATCTTTGGGAGGAGGGGGTTGGAATCAGATTTTTAAATTTCTATGATGTCACTTTCTCTGACCCTTCTGACGATTTCTTTTTGCATCCTTTATTGATTCACCCATCCATTCAAACATATATACATAGGCCCTGTATTAGGTTCCTAGGATGTGGTGGTGAATGAAACCAAACTGTTCCTGCCCTCAAGGAATAATTTATAGGTGAGACTAGGGTGGAGTGGAGAAATTAATAACAGTATGCTGTGATGGAGAATAAATCAGGAAACCACAAGGAAGACCTGTTCCAATTAGACCTGAATATCCCTACCAGTGGCTAAAGTCACTAGAGCGAGGTGGAGGGGGTTCCATGAGAAGCATCCTGTCCCCATCCCATCCCCGAGTGTGTACACACACTTCTGTTTTCCTGGGAATCTTCTGTGGGGTGGAAGACCTCCTCTCAAAAGTACTCACTTTCCACAGGCTGGAAACAAGAGGAAAGAGCAGTAAAAACTGACTTTCATCCCAGCTCCAGACACAGTACTACTTTGGGAAAGAATTGAACTGCTCAAAACTGACCCGGTTCTGGTGTGTTCCAAGTGACACTTTCCAATTGCAAACATCCATCTTGGCGTTGGGAGGAGCAGTGAGGAGACTCTACGGCACGCGCCACTGCTTTTACAATGTATGTGATAAAAAAAAAAAAAAAAAAAAAGGTGTATTTGAAAGTAAAGAGATAAGGAGGCCCCAGGGAGTGCGGTAGGGCCCTTCCCGCCCAATCAGTCTTCGCGGCCTGGAACCTTGTGTGTCGGGACCTGGCTGCCGGGCCTCCGGGGGAAGCATTTGGGAGTGGGACCGCGAGCAGCCGCTTGTAAACAGAGCCGGGCTGGGATGGTCAGCGGCCGGACCAGCTGTCACCGTGCGGCGGGCGGGCTGCCCAGGCCGGGACCCCGCCAACAGTAGGCTGCAGGCCCCGCCGCTGAAGGGAGACGAGCCACCCGGTGAGCATCCGCCTGCTTCTGTGCTGCCTACCGGAAACGGGGAGGGCCAGGGATGGGGATGACAGCGTGGTAAATACCGAGCAGCTCCCCGGGGTAGCGGTGATGTTGCTGTTTCTTCTCCGCACACCGTTTTTTTTCGTGCTGGAGACTGCACTCCATGGCAGTGGATAATGAGTGAAGGGAGATTACGTGATGCTCTGTTGCTCATTTTTTGTTTTTGTTTTTGGTGTGAATCAGGTAAATATCTGAGTCGAAAGTAGTTGATGTAGGCGGTCTTGCTCTGTGCGTTGCTTTTGGTCCCCTCTCTCTAAGGGTCATGGAAACCAAGCCTCAGCAGAGCTTTTAGTCACATCAAGCCAGGCCACCCCGAGAACACAAGGATTGCTCTTTCTGACGACTCTGCCCATTTTAAATGTATAGTAAATGACACCACATGACTGATGACAAGCATGGGCTGGTCTTCTATGAAAGGATTACTAACCTAAAAAAAAAAAATCAAAATAGGGAAATCTCAGGCCCACTTCTTAAATAAAATAAATTACTACCGAGAAATACTACTGGATGACAAATTGAGACTGCTCTTTATGTATATAGCTCGCAAAGTAAGATCAGTTTAAATTTACTAGGTTAAACTGAGATGGAGCCATGCGGTTGTAAACTTATTTGGAAGGTATTTTTCCTCTTTTTATTTTTTTTCTCATTGGAAGAAGTTAAAGGGAAATAATCCCCGTGTTTTAAAATTTCAATAATCACAGTGTATTGTGATTTGTATTTTTAAGATATGTTATTATAAAACATCACATGTAAATTATAATTGGTTTTCTTAAAATACTAAGTAGTGTTTGTCTCATTAACTTCAAGAAAATGCCTTAACAGAGACCAGGCTACATATATCGTCTCTAAAACGTCAATAGACATGTGTCACCTTGATCGAACAGTCTAACTTTTAGGAGACAAATATTAGGTTAAATTGCACACAGAGACATGTTTTAAAATCATGCACCAAGAAATAATATTAATGCCTGTTGAGTTTATTTTTACAATGAATATTATCATGATGTCATGGTTCATAGCAAGAATTATATAAAGTCAGACTACTTCAGTTTAATTTTCTGCTTGATCACTTCCTACTTGTGTAATTTGGGCAATTTACTTAGCTTTGCTGTGTTTGTATCTGTAAAATAGAAATAATAACTATACTGACTTCACTAGAGTTTTTATGGGGATTAAGTTAATTTTTTAAAGTGCTTAGAACAGGGCCTAGGATATAGTAATTACTATGTACATATTTGTTAATAAATATATAAAGTAAGTACATACCCATGTTGAAATGTAGAATGGTGATTACCAAGGGCTGGGGGAGGGAGAGAATGGGGAGTTGTTCTTTAATGGGTATTCAGTTTCACTTTTGCAAGATGAAAAGAGTTTTGGAGACTGTACAACAATGTGAATGTACTTAACTGAATGGTATTCTTAGAAATGTTTAAGTGGTAAATTTCATGTTATAATTATTTTACCATAGTAAAAAAAAATCACAGTTGACAAAGTTAGGCCCTCGAGATCTTTATTGACATCTTTATCCCATCCACAGTTGCCTTTGCCATTGTGAAAATGCAGCTTCCAAGTAGTCATCAGGAAGATGAATTTATTTAGTGGATGCATGTAATTGGGATTCATCATAAGGAGTACAAATAAATTATATGAAACACCACCTAAGACTCTGGGGCAGGCACAATTCTAAAAATGCCTCTCCATCAAGATTGTTGTCCCTAATCCTTGGAACCTGTGCATATAAGATATCACTCCCTTGATTGTATTCTACTATATGGCACAGTTGAATTTAAAATGAGTAGATTTCCTAGGTGGCCTAATCTAATCACAAGTGGAGGGCTTTCTCTGGCTGGGAAATCTGAGAGATTTGAAGAATGAGAAGGCTTAGCATGTTGTTGCTGTTTTAAAGATGGAACTGTATAGTTGAGAATGAATTCAGGCAGCCTTTAGGAATTTAGAAAGTCTGGAATTACTGAGGGTGGCCCTCATCTGACAACCAGCATAGAAGTGGGACCCACAGAAAGGCCACAAGGCACTGACTTCTTTCAACAACACAAATGATCTTGAAACAGGATTCTTTACCAGAGTTTCTAGATAAAAGCCCAGCTTAGTGTGGCCAACACCTTAATTTATAAGAGAGACCCTTAGCAGAGAACCCAGCCCGACCCATCCAAACTTCTGATATTAGGAACTGTGAGGTAATAAATGGATGTTGTTTGAACTACTTAGTTTGTGGAAATGTATTATGCAGCAGTAGAAAACTAAAACAGACTCCAAGAGAAAAATTGCAAAAGAAATGAAGAGACTAACTACTCTTGTTTGGATCTGAATATCCCCCAAAGGCCCATGTATTAAAGACTTGGTCCCCAGGTTGGTGCTATTAGGAAGTAATGGAACCTTTTACAGGTGGGGCCTAGTGGGAGGCCATTAGATTTTGGGGGGCATGCCTCCAAAGGAGATTGTGGGATTCCAGATACTTACTTGTTCTTTTTGTTCCTAGGCTCATGATGTAAATGATTTTGCTCTACTAGGCATTCTGACTATGATGTGCTGCCTCACCACAGGCCCAAATAAAATGGGGCTAATCATATACTGAAACTTCAAAAACTATGAGCCAAATTAAACCATTTCTCTTTATAAGTTGATTATCACAGGTATTTCATTATAGTGACAGCAAGCGAACATACTATTCATAGAAGAAAAAATCAAAAGGCTATTAAATATATATAAAACATATTCTTTCCATTAATCAAAGAAAATTGAAACAATAGCAAGGTACCATTTTTCCAGCTCTCCAATTAGCATAACTTCTCATTCCCTATTTCAGTAAGGGTTCAATGGAGTAGACATTCTCAGATACTTTGAGAAGCACACAATTATTATGACCTTTCTGAAAAGCACATTGGCTAAGTTATGAAAAGCCCTAATAATGCTCCTAACTTTGACCTCTGCTAACATTCCTCTTCTGGAAACCTAATGAGGAATATTTTAACAGTATAGCCATTTAGAAAAGTATTGGCAGTAACCTAAATATCCAATAATAGGAGAACAGTTAACTATGGTATCATAGAAAATATAGTATAATATAGACATTAAAGACCCTGTCTCTAAATAAGATATAAAATTTGGGCTGGGGATGTGGCTCAGTGGTTGCGTGCCCCTAAGTTCAATCCCCGGTACTTCCCCAAAAGGGGTATTTATGACGGATCTTAACAGTGTAATAAGGTGTTGCCCAATTGTTACTAAGTGGGGGTAACAATACAATAGAGAACTGTATCTATAATATGCTCTCAAGTATGTTAAAAAAAATCTCACTGGTATTGGTGGCACACGCCTGTAATCCCAGTGGTTTGGGAGGCTGAGGCAGGAGGATCTCAAGTTCAAAGCCAGCCTCAGCAAAAGTGAGGTGCTAAGCAACTCAGTGAGACCCCTGTCTCTAAATAAAATACAGAATAGGTCTGGGGATGTGGTTCAGTGGTTGAGTACCCCTGAGTTCAATCCCAGGTAACCCCACACACAAAAAAAGAATCTCTATAGGTGCTGGACGTGGTGGCTCATGCCTGTAATCTCCGTGACTCAGAAGGCAGAGGCAGGAGGATCACAAGTTCCAGGCCAGCTTCAGCAGTTAACAAGACCCTCAGCAACTTAGTGAGACCCTGTCTCAAAATGGGACTGGAGATGTAGCTTAGTAGTACAGTGGCCTTGTGTTCAATCCCCAGAATGAACGAATAAATAAATAAATCTATAGGGAAGGACCGAAAAGGCTAAAATGGGGCAGTGTTGAATAAGCATTGCTTATTTTGCCTTTTATTTGTCTTCTGTGTTTTCAAGATGCTGAACAATGTACTTGTAGCACTTTTTCTATAATCGTGGAAGTCAATAAGCTATTTAAAAACCTGTCTTTATTGTGGGGAACACAATGAATCTAAAACATTGTGCAGTCAAATTATGAGGATAGTAAAATTCATAAATATGTGGCAGAAATTGACCTTTTTAGAAAGTAATATGAGGCAGGAAGCAATAAATATTATTGGAAAGATTAAAAATAAAGTTGGATAATATTTCTTGTTATATAATCATTGAAACCTTTGTGGTGGAAAGATCACCTTGTAAAAGCAATAGAAAAAGATGTAAAAGCAATAGAAAAAGAAGGCACATGGCTGAATTTTTATTAAAATTCCTCCCCCCCCCCCCAAGATTAATAGATTTAGGCTTTAGGTTATGGATCAAGTTTACTTATATAAAGGAAAAACAAAGAACTATGAGAAATTATGTAACCATTTGTCAAAAAGAAAGAGTTTTGCACATTAGGACTGAGAAACCAAGCTGGACATAGACCAGTATCATCTGCATTAGAAACATCCAAAGCTAATATTTATTGAATATTTATCAGAGATTTAACATACTCTAACTGTGGTTTGTACACTTTTGGAAGTCTTGAAGTCATTTGTTTCCCTATTTCAGAAGCAGGCAGATAGATGGTTACTACTCTAATCTCTACTTTCAGAAGACCTGATTTTAATAGGTCATTTGGGCAGAGATTTTAGAGTTCTCCATCTCTAGACAGTTTCCAGAAGTGCTTGGCTACTGCTGCTCCCACTTTTATTTTCCTGTTGGCTTCTGTTTCTATTTTCACTTCACCCTATGCTTCCATACCCCTAGAGAAGTAGGAAAAGTGTCTGCTGGCCCATTGGCTGCTAGCCAGATGCTGATTTGCTTCATGGGGAATGTTAACCCTTTAAAAGAAGAGGTATGGGGGATATCTAGCAAGGAATTGCTTTTGTTGTTATTATTATTTACTTTTAGAGCAGATTTGGGATCTGATTCATAAAGACTTGAACTATTTTTTAGCTTTTGGTGCAAGTCAAATGATTTCATGAACATTACTGGTAATGATTAAGAGTGTGATAAAAAATGACCATCAGTAATAAAGTCCACACTGTTTGCTC